CAATCCTACTTTATTAAATGATGGGCTGAGCTGCCCATAGATGGCTCAATAAAATGCACCCAAGCATACAATACCAAAACGCTGGAAATTTCAATGCAGCCTTTCATCAGCTAATGTTTTGCAAGAGCAGATAAAATCCTATATGCTCAAAGAAAATGTATCTTGTAAACAAATGGACAACCCGGGCTGGTTGGCCATCCTTTACGAATGTTGACTTGCTATCTATCTTTGGGTATATTATTTAAAGTGAAACTAAACTCAAGAGTTAAATCTTAAAAATACATTCAAGTGCCCTTATTATTAACACAAATGTAGCTTATTTGTGTATCACCATGTGGTCCCTGCATGTGTAATGGCCACCACTCCAAGCTCCCTCCCGTGATGGACTACAATCTCATGTTTAGTTTTTAATTTGTATTGAGATTGTAGTCCATCATGAGAGCAAGCTCGGATTGGTGACTACTTTACAACACACACAGGGACCATAGAGAACAAAAGTAGACACTCTCCAGAAGAAAGGACAGTGTCGGCACCAATTCAGAGATGATTTGAGGATCTACAGCTGAGTGATACACAAATAAGATACATTGTTGTTAATAGTTAAGGTACTTGAATGCATTTTTAAGATTTAGCTCTTTAGTTAAATGTATGCCTATTTAAGATATAAAAAGAGTTGATGTTGTTAATGCTCTTTGCACATAATGAACAGAGGAAAGTCAGTGATAATCCCCCCGTCCTCCCTCCCTACCCTACTTTTTCTACAAATTCATGTTATTTGTAATGTTAATAATACATGTAACTAGTGGGCAGTGGAGACAAGTGCACCTCCTTGCCTAGGGCATTCACCCTATAACTTAACCTTCAACAAATATTTATGTTCCTAATTTAAGACATTTGTAATACTCAATTGTGTTTCAACTAAACAGGGTTTGTTTGTCACATTTTTCTGAAAATAAGAAAACATTTGCTAAAGAAAAAATTGTAAAGAAAGAACAACGGTCTAGATTTCTCAGTTGTGAGTATACAATCCAGTGCCTTGGGTTGTCCGAGAAGCACGTGTTATCCTGTGCTGTCCTATTTAAAATAATGAAGGATCAGAAGTACCAAGTGTTCAGCGCTATTAGCTTTGGGCAAGGATTGCAGAGTGTCCCATATATCTCCCTGACCATTGATCTGGGGGAATTCATCTAATGTTTGATGGAAATATACACACACACACACACACACACACACTAAAGGAAGTATTACTTTTACACATATACCTGTGGATCTCTTAATAAATAACTTCAGTCACAAAAATGATGAGCAGCAAATTTACATGTGCGCATAACGTGCAAGTATTAGAAAACAGCCCAGAATGCCCTCCCTTCTCCCAACAGAGAGTTTGGGGATTCTGGAAAGATTTTACTAATGTATGGATATCGATTCAACTCAATGAACAAAGGAGATCTTCACATCTCCATTCAGATGAATTATGTATTTCTGTGATTTCTACATTTCCCTGAAATGTTATATATTTATTTTTTGGGATGAAGACTTCCAAAGCCACAATGTTAGTATTCATACAATTTAAACATAATTACAGTTTGAATATGAAACCTTACCAGGCTGGCATGCACATTACGTTCCTGGGAGAATCGCCACAATGACCCGCAGTTCTTTGCTGAATAAGTCTGAGTTAAATCAGCTTTGTTTACCCAAAGCTGATTCTCTCCAATTCTTTATTTTCCAGCTGCCTTAATTATCTTCACAATCAACAATTTAGTTCTACCCCCTCTCCCCCCCCCCCCCCCCCCCCTTTTCAATTTCTGACTAGAGTACATCTGTGTTAAAGGGAAATTACTGTATGTGTTAAAACTACTACACTCTTGTAGCAAGTGAAAATTAGGAACAGATATGGACACCAGGTACACAGAATCGAATGACAGGAGATGGAACCTTCAGCGTAAACTGCATTTTAACTCAATCATTAGGTCCAGAGATGCATACAGCGGAACTAATCAGACAGAAGAATAATTTGCAAGACTGTCCTCCAGCCTGACAAGTCCATCCTTTCCCTCGTCACTGTTACCATCTTGTAATTTTTTTTCTAGTCCAATGTCTTTTTTTCTCCAATCAATAGATGACCACTATGTATGCAGCACCCACACATGAGCACAGTACATTGTTCTGGCACCCAGCTTGTAGGCCAAGAAGGTATGCCATTCAAAGCATCCAGCACAGTCAGTGTATAACTGGAAATGTTTTTTATCGCAGACATGACATACAAAGTCTGCCACAATGTTTTCCCTTTTATATGGAACTTAAGGCCCGGCTCCAGACTCAGGCTCACACATTCCCCCTTTCCACCAATGAAGCAACCCCTGTAATGTAAAAATAAATAAATCTTTATACATATTTTTTTTCTAGGTGCGTTTAGATTAGTCTGGTGAGGTTAGAGGTCCTCTTTTACCTCTTCTTTGACCAGCAGAGGGTGGTCTCTAAATACTGCATTGCTTTAGTTCATTCTCCTGAACTAAATGTATTTAGAAATACACAACTGTGTAGTCTACAATGTCCCAAACAGCTTTATTATTCAAAGCAAGCGAAAAGGGCACTCCACATCCTTATTTTCACTGACACATTTCATCCCTTGTATCCGGGCTTAGTCATAGAGTCAAATCGCTCCAATAGAATTCTGGAAGTGGAAAGCCCTCTCTGCTTGCTTTGAACAATTGAGCTTTTTGAGATCTTACAGACTACACAGTGAGCAGCCTAATTGTTTGTGAATGTTACACAAACTATAATGGGAGTGCACAAGTTCCCTTTAGGTGTCTTTCTGTACAAATGTGGTTTCTAAATACATTTCATGTATTTATATATAGTGTACCTATGACTCTATGACTAAGCCCAGATAGAAGAAGTGAACCATGTCAGATAAAACATCAGAGTAGGTTCCAAATACCAGTCGCACTCCTGCGGTCCTACAGCATAAAAGTATCTGGGGTGCTCAAGGTGATCGCACGGATGGCGGCATGCAAACACTAGCAGTAAATATAAGGATTTCACCGGCACACACTTGAAAATTCAAATATCAATATTTCATTGATATATTTATTCCATTAAGAATGTCACATCTGTTAAAATTTAATGGATAGGAAAAACAATATATCTATAATATCTTGGAATGTTAGGGGTCTGGGGAATAAGGCAAAGCGATGTGCGGTACTATCCAGCATTATGTCCCATAAGCCGTCAATTATCTGCTTGCAGGAAACGCACTTGGTGGGAGATAGTGTTGGATGGTTGGAGCGCAGATTTTTGCAATATACAGCTCATGCATGCTACTCGACATACTCTAGAGGGGTATCAATACTAGTTTGTGAAGGTATAGCTTTCTCATGTATACAAGCATTGTGTGATAAAGAGGGTAGATATGTATTTCTGCATTGTAAAATCTATGAAGTAGAATGCGTGCTGGTAAATATATATATTCCTCCTCCCTATTCTAATGAGGTCCTCCGGAAGCTGTTATTATTAAAGATAAGTTACCTATTTATGTTATTGTGATGGGAGATTTTAATAACTATTAATGCTCAATTTTATAAATATCTGCAACTAAGGCATGCGCTCACGGCACATCCCGGTGTACGTGAGGTCTGCATTAATGCAAATGCGGTTATAGATTATTTTTTTGATACAACAGTGACGAGAGGTTTGATCTCAAAGATGTATGCAAATTTACTACCTGGGGTCCTGAATAAATCTCCCATGAAATGTAAAGTGGGCTGGGAAATGGACTTGGGGCCTCTGGATGAAGCCCTCTGGAGGGAGGCGTTGTTGTCAATCCAATTAGTTTCACCATCTGCATCGCACAAATTGACGCAGCTCTATATTGTACATAGAACATATCGGACCCCTGAATTCCTACATAGGATAGGATTCAGGGAAAATTCTAAATGTCCAAAGTGTGGGGTTGAACCTGGTTCGTTAATACATCTGCTGTGGCGATGCCCGAAGCTGAAACGATATTGGCAGGAAATAGTCGACATAATAAATACAGCCTTTGGAGTCCATATCTCTAATAATCCCATGTTATGTATCCTGGGTATTTTTGGACCCATAAAAGTGAAATACTACACAAAGGTGGCAATAACGAGGGCTCTATTCGTAGCCCGGCGTAGTATAGCCCTTAGGTGGATTTCAGCAGCGCCTCCCACAGTAGAGGAATGGAAGAAAGAACTAGATAAAGTGGTTAGATTTGAGGGAATTATGTTCAAGCACAGAGGTACTATGGACAAATATGGTAAAATGTGGGATAAGTGGATTGAATATGGTAAAGGACCTTGGGTATAATGTCTCTCGTATAATATCTCTCCTATTTATTATTGGTACTCTGAAGAGTAATGTGGCTTGAGAAATATGGTATGTTGAGAGGAAAATTAATTTTATAAGGAGAGGCGTGGTTGTTTTTTTTGTTGTTTTGTTTTTTCCCCTCTGTGGGTCTGTATGTATTGTTGTCTGTTTTGTATTGATGTTTTAATATGTAATTGTGGATGTATACGTTTGTTTTATGTGTTGTATTATTAAAATAAAAAAGTATTGAATTTAAAAAAAAAAAGAATGTCACATCATGGCATATGGTGCTAACTTTTCGGGTCCTCACAGGGATCCTTCATCAGAGCGACACAGTGAGCAGCCAAATTGTTTGTGAATGTTACACAAACTAAAATGGGAGAGCACAAGTTCCCTTTAGGTGTCTTGCTGTACAAATGTGGTTTCTAAATACATACCGTGTAATTATATATAGTGTATCTATGACTCTGTGACTAAACCCAGATAGAAAAACCGAACCATGTCAGAAAAAATATCAGGACTTGTATTTTACTTCTTTCAAACCTGCTTTGTAATCCGTATTCACCACTTGCATTATACGGATGCTCTTCTTCCCATAAAATCACAAGGACAATTTTAATATCCAGCCAATTCCTCATGAATTCACAGCTATGTAATGTCCTTACCTCTTACAATGATACTGGTGGACTTTTTTGCTGGATTGCCGACATTGTTGTTGGCGACACAGCTGTAGGTCCCAGCATCCTCCGACATGATGGACGGTATAGTAAGCGTCCCTCCATTTAGTACCGCCTTTTCTGGGAGATTCCCAACAGATCTAACCCAAGTCAGTGTCGGCGTGGGTTCTCCACCTGTCGTGACACACACTAGCGTTATTGCTTCCCCCGGATTTACAACAATGGGATCATCCACCAGCAGTTTAATAGACGGTGATGCTGAAAATTGAGACAAAGAAGATGAGAAAGGCCTGTGAATTGAACAATTTATGTATCAGTATTTACAGACAACAATTAAAATCTTCCATACATTCTTTGAACAGGCTGTATAAGTTAGAGCCCTTCTTCAGAAAAAACCTTTTTAGTGTTCGATAGACTGGAGAAGGATTTGAACCTCTGCCAAGTTTTGAATGTTTTCTGTGTGCTAGTTTAGGTTCCTGTTCTGACGCTTTTCGCCTGGACAGGAAGTGAGGGAAAATATTGCTAATGAGGACACAGACAACAAAACAATCCTTAAATAATTTAAAGTGACACTAAACTCAGCAGTTAAATCTTACAAATACATTCAAGTACCTTAACTATTAACACACATGTATCTTATTTGTGTATCATTCAGCTGTAGATCCTAAAATCATCTCCGAATTGGTGCCAACACTGTCCTTCCTTCTGAAGGGTGGCTACGTTTGTTCCCCATGGTCCCTGTGTGTGTTGTAAAGTAGTCACCGCTCCACGTATCCCCTTAATGAGGCAGCCTGATGCTATTGCCTCAGACAGCATCTCTTTGGGTAATGAGAGGGGGGGGCGCGGTAAGCAGAGTGGCATGTTTGTTGTATAGTGGCTGCTCTGCTGCACAATGCCACCCCCTTTCCATATGGAGCATCCCAGGTTGCTACAAGCCATGCAGGGAGATGTGTATGGGCTCCTGGCAACCTGGGATACTCTGGCTTCTTGGGATGCTCTGGCTGAAAAGGGGGTGGCATTGTGCAGCAGAGCAGTCACTATACAACAAACATGCCACTATGCCTACCGCGCCCCCCATGTGACCTAAAGAGATTCTGTCTGAGGCAATGGCCTCAGGCTGCCTCATTAAGGGGATACTTGGAGCGGTGGCTACTTTGAAACAGACATAGGGACCATGACATAACTGGTTGCCAGGAGCTGGACAGGATGTCGGCCAGGGTGTCCCAGGTCTGCCGAGGACGGCATCACTCTCATGCACCACCCGCCCCACCCTACCCCCGGCTTCAGGCAGCAAAAAGTCTAGGGACACCACTATACTTTAAGCAACTCTTATACATTACTACATGCATGTTGTAGGGAGGAGAAAATGGGAATGTAAACTAGCAAATTAATATAATACATTAGAATTTGTGCCAAACAGAGACATGGGTTTTAAATGCCACTATGCTATTAACTGGGCTGCCATTTTTGTGTATCACACAGATGGTGTGTTTTTCTACACCTACTTTGTTTCCAGGACTTACTTGGAATAGAACTTGCCTGTCCCACTAATCTGTATCTATGTCTCTCCTCTAGTAGATACCCAACTGTATATACATACTGTATGTGTGTAACACTCTGACCGACACAGAAAAACAGGTATTCTCAAATGTTTGCATGGAAGCATGTTTTGTCCACATCTGCCCTGTGCCCTAGAACCGCCATGGAAAAGTATCTGAACTGTCTAGCCCTGCTTGTAAAATTATGCCTTCTAACTCAAATATCCCGCTAATCTGTCTGAAGTCTGGTACTTAACCCATGAACTTAATTCACAGTCACTCGTCAACACTTTAATGTTCACAGCCTTTTCTGTTCCTTTAGATACTTTCATATACCATAAGGTAATAAAATCCTGCATAAGAGACTATTTTCTCATATTTACACTCCAGCTTCGAGATCATGTCCTTTAAATATAGTACAATGTTCAAAAAAATAAATACAATTGCATGACATTATAATTATAGAAGGTGACAGATTTTGAGCGTTTGCAGTTGCTTGGAAGTTTTTATGCCTTCAGCGTCATGCCATTCTGTTTGTCCATATTTCTTATATGTATGGAGAGCCTGAGAGGTTTAGTATGATTCATAACGAAGTGCTAAAGTTTAATTACTTGTTTTCCTTTGGCCTAGAATTAGAACAAGCTTAAATATTCTAATAAAATCCTTCTTTACTCCCCATCTGTCTTGCGGTTCCCAGCGTACTGATTTATAGAGCAGATGAAACATCAAAATAGAAGCACAGATTGTAAAAATAATTCATCAGTGGTCACACATTGGATGTCATGGCTCTGAGTTTCCGCAATGTCTTGAAAACTATATAATTTCAGCCGATCTCTGAACATACTGTACAGCCCCTTTTTTTTGTCTCAGCAATAGCAACAAATTTGAGTGTTCAGTGAACAGATTTGTCGTGCCAGGTGCTGAATTACCTGTACTAGTGGTATAATAAACTGCATTGACCAATAAACAACAGATGTTACTAGACCTATATGGGCGATTTAAATATCTTGCTACTGAGAAATGTAACCACTTGCAGATACTCCTCTTATTATCAGCACATTATGGTGTGTTGCAAATGAAGTGACTGCTATGAGTCTAAAGCCGCAGTATTAATTAATTATAGGTATTTATACAGTGCAGACAATTTGTGCAGTGCTTTATATACTGCACATACCCATAAGTCTAGGGCTGCAACAACGAATCAATTAAATCGATAATAATCTATTATGAGAATAGTTGGCAACTATTCTCATTACCGGTTAGTTAGTTAGTTAGTTGGGTGGGAGAGAGAGATTTTTTTTAATGCAACAAATCGATTAGTCAAAAAAATAATCGGGCAACTATTCGATTATGAAAATAATCATTAGCTGGAGCCAACCATCTGTCTCTGCCTTCAAGGAACTTACAATCTAAGGGCCCTATCTCTATATGCCACTGTCGTGTGGTACCTTTCATGCTGGGTGAGGCATTCCCCAGCCCCGCCCATTAAAAAAAGGGGGGCAGCTGCAAGTGCTACAAATACCTATTGATCTGGACAGTGGTGCTGCACTGCTCCTGAATTCCAATGAGAGTTGTTACTCTTATGTAGACTGTGACTGCTTGCACTACAGTGGGATGAGAAACAATTTCAGGAAGCGTGGCTATCCATATTTTCAGCCTGTGGGTTGTCAATCAGCACCTGCCCACTGTTTTCTTAATTGGCATTTGGGAAGAGGAGCATGCCTGCATCCACCAGCTACCTGAATTGTGTAGAAGTTCTTAGTGGGTAATAAGCCCCTGTTGTTCTCTCATCTATCTAACGGCTGGCATTATATGGAATGAAAACAGAGGATGAAGATAATATACTTACAGTGTAGGCAAGAGTAGATCAAAGGAAAAAATGCGTTATTCAGATGTGTGGAATGTGAACTGTGGACTGACCCCTTGACTATTCTCGTTTTGCTGCATTTTCCAGTTGCTGCAAAATAACACTACCTACTTACATGGGAAGATTGATTTATTTTTCTACTGCTAGCTTATTTTGTGAAACAAATAAAAAAATAAAAATAAAACCCCGAGGCCAATATTCCACCCAAGACTGAATCCTGAGTTTCAGCAAAGGCCAGCTCTCTCTTTTCAGTTTGATGATTAACATGTTCATTTCTCTAGATGCATTTTAAATACTGCAGTGGAAGAATTTAATTTTCCATGCTAGTATTCTGCAGTATTGTATTAGAACGATTATGACCTTGAGCAACTGTATTATCTGACTGCGCCGAGTCCTTTGTATTGGAGTCATCTGTGCTATTTTGATTATTTTAGCTATCAGCTCCACATATCAACTCTTACCTATCAGGCAAAAGCATTAACAGTGATTATGTTCTCCAATTTTGTACAATAAGTACATGTTTGCAGAGCCTGCTAAGTGATGTTTGTCAATGTTTGTGCACTTACAGAAATGGAATACAATAGAAGTATCTAATAACATGTGCAGACTGAGCTCCCTGGTAGAACAGATGTAAGAATATCGGGATACTGTGGCTCACAGATGTGCTGTCTCCTAGTTAAAGTGAAATTCCAAGTCCCAAGGCTACTAAATTGCAGTCAGGGCTGTATTTAGATATCATGCCGCAGGCAAAATATAACAGTTTGCACATGTTGAAGCTTGGCACTGCCAGCTGACACTGCTGCCCTTGGTTCTAGCACTGCTACATCCAACACTGCTGCCATTGGTACTGGCACTGCTACCTCTAACACTGCTGCCCTTGGTACTGTCACCTCTAACACTGCTGCCCTTGGTACTGGCGCTGCCACCTCTAAAACTGCTGCCCTTAGTTCTTGTGCTGCTACCGCTAACACTGCTGCCCTTGGTACTGACTCTGCTACCTCTAACACTGCTGCCCTTGGTACTGTCACTGTCACCTCTAACACTGCTGCCCTTGGTACTGGCACTGTCACCTCTAACACTGCTGCCCCTGGTACTGGTGCTGCCACCTCAAACACTGCTGCCCTTGGTACTGGCAATCCATATTTTCAGTGTAAATACACAAAATTATTTTTAGCGCACATAAATACAATATTATCCTGAATGTTTTGATAAGGTTGTGTCAAGACACGGCAAATAAGTCACGCCTTTAAACTGCAAGACAATGAAAAATTATGGTACCTAAAATTATAAATAGGTAACGCTTTAGGTGCCTTTACAGCTTATCAATTTAGACTTAACCATAAATAAGGGGCCTAGAATGATATAAAGAGCAGGATAGATTAAGAGTTACTCACAGCACCCCCAATCTCATGGTGTATAATCTATATTTTACAGATGCTTAGTCAAGATCAGTAACGCAACGCTCCCGGCGGGGTAGCAGCACTGTCGGCATCTCTGCACATGTGCCTGTTACAAGATAGCGTGAATCCAAAGACAACAGCAGCATGACATCAGATTCTACAATCCGTAGATGAATCAGAGTGAATTTTATTTTATTTTTTTCTCATTTTTTGGTCAAGGGGGAGAAGGAGTCATAAGATTAATCAGGTTTTATTGCTGCCCCTTTCACCATTGAGGAGATACGACATGAGGACAGAAGCGAGAAAACATATCTCCAGTGTGGGTAAATATTTATGAAGTGTGGAAGACCGCATTCACACTTTTGTTTTTTCACATGGATTTTTTATGTGGTTTTTAAATTTAGTTTTGATTCATTTTTGCACATTTTAAAACTCATTTTGGTGTGTTTTGCT